TCTAGATAATGTTTATATTTATTTATATGTATGTGTAACGCCGAAACCTTCAACCACTACCCTTCACTTTAGGGAGGCTTGTGAGGTCTAGTTTCAGGGCTTAGGGGCTAAACTTCCCGAGCCCTCCCCCGCACCTCCGCTTGGACTGGAGGTGCTGCTGTCTTTCCTTCCACTCCTCTTCCTTCTGCGATCGGCGCCTGGGATGGCTTCGGGATTCAGGGTTAGGGTTTAGGGTTTAGGGTTGAGGGCTTAGGGATTGAGTTGCTTTTGTTCTCGGGGGTTTGAGGGTTTATAGGATTCAGGGCTTCGGGATTTAGGGTTTAGGGTTCATTGATTTAGGCTCTAGAGGGGAGAGGATGACGATGGCCTGGGCTTGGTCTGATGTGGATGTTGTGGTTAGGATTCCGCACATGGACAGTAGAAGTTTAGGGTTTAGGGTTTAGGGTTTAGGGCAGCATATTCCCGACATGCTTGGAGGCCCATGCAAGGCATTCTCGTACGCGTGCTGCAGCACTGCCAGCGGACTCTGGCACTTCACGGAGGCTCCAGAAACTTCTCAAGTAGCTGGTGATTGGGTGAGAGGCACCCCGATTGGGGCTAGCTTGCTTAACATCCCAGTTGCAATGCCACCGGTCCCCTAAGATCAACTAATTAAACCTGCTTCTGTCTTGTCTGGGCACGTCTCTCTACTCTAGTACCTTTCTAGACAAGGGTGGGGGGGGGGGGTCGTCTTCATTTGTCGCTTCTTGACTCCTGGCTCATTCCAGGGTGCAGGGTGTGCGGCTGATTGGAACTGGTGACACATTGTTGTAGAGATATGGAACTGCCTCGCTTGCCATGCCTTCTCGCAAGATTAGCAAAACTACAAATACTCAATCCATACCCAAACCGGGGCCTTGTATAATTGCATTGTATGGGTCCCAAACACTTCACCTTTTTGAGACCGCACGCCTACGGCCAACTCTAAAACCCGAAAAACCACACCTTGAGCTCTGAATCTGCTGCAACCCAGTCCAGTGCAGGTGGAGGGTGTTAAGCGGACTTCCATTGCTCTACAAAGGTCCGATGGTGCTCTAAACACTTTAGAAGCTTTACGGGGGTTTAAGGTTTTAGAGCCATCTACTCCATCGGGCTTATTCAGTGCATATAAATACCTTGGTCCATACTCGGTTGGTGTTTTGCTATACCCGCTTCTCGCACAAAAGACCGGAACAGAAAGTGATTATGTCGAAACCCTCAAGGCTTGTGTAAAGGCCTAAGGCTGGTCATCCTAAACACCCTAAACTCTAAGCCAATAAACTCGAAACCCGGGAATAAAGGCCTGTCCTACTGCAGAGCGGACTCCTAGCGTTTGAGGGTTGAGGTGGTCCGCGCATGCTTTGTCTTAGGGTTTCGACTCTCACACTCGTACAAGGCAGGCAGTCTTAGGGTTTATGTGTTAGGGTCCCGCCTAGCAGACTGCATTGCAAACCAGGGAGAAACACACAAACACACGTAAATCCTAAACCCTGAACTCTGAAGGGTTCTACGAGCGTCATGTAATCATGGTTAAGCATTCTGTAAACCCAAGATAGGAGCTCGAATTTGTGAGGGCAGCTAGGGCCGCTAGGGTTTCATGATTCTCTACCTTGGCTTCTAGCTCCAATTCCTAAGACACTAATAGGTCACGACCCTTCTATACACAGCTTATAACCGATACATATCAAGAGCTAGGAAACTGAAGCTACAAGTACAACTTTTAAGATTAACACCTTTGTCCGTGAGATACCGGCCTCTCCCGCATCTCTTCCTGACTGTCAACGATGATGACCTTCAACAGCGCGAGAACTCAACACCAACCGCAAACCTGCGAAACAACACCGAGTAAGGGGCTGGAGTTGCCCTAAACCCTAAACCCTAAACCCCGGGTTTAGGGTTTAGGGCCCCTGACTGAGTGATCTATAGTGGCCTTGTCGGCAGTAGCGAGGCTTCCCTGGAAAATCGGGATAGCATGCGATCCGCATTGTTCTTGAAACCTCCGTGAACCTGTCTGAGCGCCCTGGGCCCAAGCCGAGGCTGCAGTTCAAATGGGGGACGTAGAGGGGCAATCATCCCATCAACTACGGGTTTTTTCTTCCTTGAACTCGCCCCAGATGCTCTCGATAATTCAAAGTACGTTGCGCCATTACTGAGTCTACATATATGTGCACGAAGTACTGATTTTTGGAAGGCGATCTCGCTCGGAACCGTGCAGCCGGAAATCATAGCATCGAAAATCCTGAGCACCAGAATCTGAAGGCCCAAGACAAAAAATGTCCTTGGAACCTTCTAGCACTTTTGAAACCTTCAAAAGAACACTATAGTCACTATACAACTCTTACAGAGCTTTAAACACCAAAGCCCCAAAACCCTGAGCCCTAAACTCCAAACCCCAAACCCCAAGCTCTTTTTGCAACGGCCTTGTCAGATCTCGACCGAAACCCAAGCCCTAAACCCTAACACTCCCAAACCCAAAGCCCTGAGCCCTAAAACCCCCAAACCCTGTAACCCCTAAAAAGCCTAAACGCTAAGCCCCCAAAACCCTAAGCCCGAAGCCCCAAACCCTAACCCCAAAACCCTAAATCCCCAAACCCTAACCCCTAAAACCCGAAACCCTGACCGCCTTCTTGGCAGCCGCGGCTTTGAGAGGTTCGATGAGCCCCGGGAAATCCATGAGACCCACATTTGCTCTACGCCGCCTGCAGCTTCGCGGGATTTTTTGAGCTTTCGAGAGTTTGGGGTTTGGGGTTCGGGGTTTAGGGTTTTGACACTCAAACTCGGAAGGTTTAGGGTTTAGGGATTAGGGTTTAGGGATTGCGGTTTAGGGTTTAGGGCTTAAGGTTTAGGGATTCGGGATTAGGGTTTGGTATATAGGGATTAGGGATTGGGTTGTTAAGCGGTACGATATCGGCTTATATGAGGGTTGTTTGTATGAGGGGGGCTTTGATCCTGTTGTCGCTGTGTGTGATAGGACTTTGCCACGGGTTTCTGTAGACAGTTTTGTGTTGAGGGGCTCAAATTCAACTGCAGAGCTCGAGGCTTACGGCTTCGGATTTGACTTTCGAAGGCTCGTGATTGGTGACGTGGTACTGCGAGTTTACGTGTGCGCATTCTTCTGGACAAACTTTTGGCCCCATGACACCCTAAACCCTAAGCCCGAAACCCTAAACCCCCAGCCCGAAACCCCAAACCCTAAACCTCCGGCGGCAGATTGACCACATGCTCCTCCACCCCTTGGGATAAACCCTAAACCCAATCCTGAGCAAGGATCATTCTGGAGTTACTTCTCTCTTCTTCAACAACCAGGCCCAAAAAAGTTCAAACTTTTTAGGATAGACCTGATATAGAAGGCCAAAAGGTTTAAAGTTCTCCCATTGAGGACCTAAGACTTTGGTCTTAAATCCCCAAAACCCATCCCCCCAAACCCCAAACCCCAAGCCCAAACCGGGCCGACGCTAATTCGGGTTCTTTCATACCCTCAACTTCAAGCCCAAAAAGATCGAAGAGCCTGTCTGGGAGCCTTTAGAAATCTTTCGGGAACCTAAACCCTAAACCCTAAGCTCGCCAAGCTGCGCGAAGGTGCTGGCAGCCATCGCGGCCGCCCGAAGGCCCAACTTCGTTTTGGTGCCCTGTGCGGTCGTCAGCGGTTGGAGCTTCGGGTTTAGGGTTAGGGTTTAGGGCTTCCTAATGTAGGGGCCTTAGTAATTAGAATAGGGTTTTAGGGTACATTTTACCAAAACAACAAAATAAGGAACCCCCCAAAATAGTATAGGCAAAAACTCAGTCGGAGTTTCGACTCTCACTCTCGCAGAAGGCAAGCAAGGCTCCAAACAAGTCCGCAGTTTAGGGTTTAGGGAGTTGAAAGGTTCTCTCTGGTAGTAGGCTCCTTTCTCGAGTAACGGTAGGGTTTTCAGATTTATAGAGATCAAAGATGTTGGGTTTCGATATAGTTCCGGATGTGTGCCAAGGTTTTACTGTTGTGCACCGAAGAGGAGCTCGTGTTCTGGGTTCCAGGTTTCAGCAGATGAGTGTTGCTGCGACAAGAAAACTTGAAAACCGCCCAAGGGGACAATCGTGTCTAACTTGTGCCTCTACTTGCAGGTTCATGGGTAGTTATAAATAGAGTTATCTGTCCCCTTAATAGGTTAGAACTACAGTTACCCTACTTATAACCCCACTTATAACTACCCCTAAACCCTAAACCCTATAGAACCCTTTAAAGGAACCCTTATAACCCCATTTATAACTACCAAGTAGCTGCCCTAGCCAGACCCTGAGCGAACAGAGTCTGAATCCGACCCGAAGCCCCTAGACCAAGCAACCCGAGCTGCGCGAGTACCGGTCGACGGCCGCATCGGGTTTTGGGGGTTCCCTATAATAAATATAGTATACTACACCCCTAAACCCTGTTCTAATAATATAGCCCCTATCTTTTGGTCGACGGCCGCATGTGTGATGCTAGTGGGACGCATGAAGGCTCATGCGCAGTTTGTCAGTACTGTATAGTATACCACTAGTGTAGGGGCCTTAAGAATTAGAATAGGGTTTTGGGGGTTCCTTATTATACTTGTAGTACACTACACCCCTTAACCCTGTTCTAATGATTAAGGCCCCTATTTTTTGTCCCCACGACCCGCCGTAGCAGTGACAAACCCAATGGGCTCCCGGGATGTGGAGCTTTCTTTTTGTTTTTCATATCGGCCAGCTTCCGTCCGCTTCAGGATTTAGCATTTGTCTTGACGGTTATACAAGGGTTCGGCGCTCACAATCGGGTACCGGGCCCTATTTACAAAAGACTATAATGTAGGGGCCTGAAACATTACCTACACCTTGTTTTTTTTGGGGGTGGTTCTCATTTTATTTCTAGTATAATGAGCGCCAAAACCCCTATTCTAATTATTAAGGCACCTTTGCAAAAAAACAATCTGAACGTTCCGGAAATGGAAAGTTCGGGGTCGAAGTCCCTCTTCCTCAAGCCAGCTTCATATCAGAGGTCTGCGGACTCAGTATCAGCATCCCCTTCTCCAGTCCGTGAGGATCCGGGGTAGAAATAGATCATAACATCCCCCAAAGCCCCTCTTTAGGGTTTAGGGTTTAGGGGTTTTGAGGTTTTGGGATTTAGGCCCCCATGTTGTCCTGTTCCCAAAGTTCTGTCAGTGCCTCTTCCTCTTCTTCGACGGGTGGCTTCTTTAGGATCGACTTCCTGGCGGCGTCTGAGTTTGGCAGCTGCAGAGAATTAAGGACCTTCCCTAGAGGCTCCATGTGCCGAATCCTTGTAGGGTAGAATTTTTAAAGGGGTTCTTACTCTGGCATGTTCGGGTCAAAGATGGTCAATGTGTATACCAGGTATTACCATCCGGGAACATGGATACTGAGGACTTGACACTAAACAGGTTGATCTGTCCCTGTCATGAGCAGCCGTATTCAGGTACCGACAAGCTCCACTTTGAGAAGCAATGTCTGGTGTTGGCTTGTACAGTTTACAGGTTTCAGCATGTTGGGGAGTCGTATGATCCCCCCCCTTTGTTTGCATCTGGTTTGGAGCGACTCAACCAGGACACCCTAAACCCCTAAACCCCGAATGCGACACGCAAGACCTGCAAGACTTCTCTGCAGATACAAGCGAAAGAGACAGGCTGAGCGCAGCACACATATCACATGAAGGAAAGTACCGGTATCTCCTCAAAGATGGTATGAAGCCGCCCAGCCCTCAGCCCTAAAGCGCAATATAGGAGCCTTTAACATAGTAAAATGATGATAACTTTAACTGTATATTGAGGAGCCCTTAAGGAATAGTCTTGGTTTTCCTCAACTCGACAGTCTAAGACTTTAAACTCTAAACTCTAAACCCTCAAATCCCTACCTTAAACTCTCAACGCTGAACTCAAAACCTTTTCTTGAGCAGGGACTGCAATGCACTAAAAACCCAAAGCCCTGAACTCAGAACTGAAAAACCTTAAGCTCCCCTGAACTCACAACCCTAAACTCTAAAACCCTAGACCCTTTTTTGCACAGGCTCTAAACCCTAAACCCTAAACTCTAAAACTCTAGACCCTATATACCCGAAACCCTGAACTCGAGACGCTATTGACACCTGGGCTATGCATGTGCCAGGAACTGCTGTGGTCTTGTGAACTCTAGACCCTATAACTCTAAACCCTGAGCTCTAGACCCTAAGCCCTCAACCCTGAACTCGAGACCCTAAACCCTGAACTCTAGACCCTAAACCCTGAATCTCTGGACCCTAAACCCTAAACTCTGAATCTCTAAACCCGAAACCCTGAACTCTAGACCCAAAAGGCGAAGCCAAGGCTCAGAGGAGGGAGCTTGAAGCGGGGATCCGACTTTATCTTCTGCACCATCATCTCCTCTTTTTCAGCCTCATCCTCTTCATCCTGGAGTTGTTCCCTCTAGGAGCTTTAGGAGTTTAGGGTTTACACTCTCAGAACTCGGATCCATAGGTGCACAAGTCGGCGTGACTCTTCAAGCTGCCTATGCATAGGGGTTTAGGGGTTAGGGTTTTAGGGATTCTCAGCCTCATCCGGGCCATCCTTGATTAGGGTTTAGGGTTCGATCTTTCGGCTCGGGTTTCGGGGCTCACGCTCGGACAATCGGGGCGAGGCATGTGGTCTTAGGCTCTTAGGTCGGCAGGGGTTTAGGACCTATCGGGTTGGTAGACCATCTCCTCTGCAGCCTTGTCATCCTTTCATTTTTTACGATAGGGTTGACGGCTGGAAATTGTGGGTTTGTACATGATCTCGTGGGCCTCGCGAGCCTTTCAAGCGAGGAGCCCATGACCGTTTAGGGTTTAGGGGTGGGGCTCAGGGTTTAGGGGGTAGTAGGGTTTATATCAGGGCAAGTGAGTTTTTATCAGGGTTAGGCGGTACATACACATACGAAAGTACAAGGGTATGCTTAAAACATTGGCAGCGACGCTTGAGAGCAACTGCCTAATAGGTTTGGACATGCTGAGAGGGGTGCAAGCGGGTCATTAAGCCCCGTAGTTGAAACGTGGGTTCAGGGATGCGTAGTACCTCTGCACAGGAGTCTATTTTTGAAGACAACATCAATACTCAAACCCCCCAAACTGCAAGATAATCAGCAAAAAGGACCCTTGGCCAATGCAGCCGTATTTTTCAGCAACCCATCAAACTTTGGGCGTGGAAAATTTTTAATGGCCACCCAGTCTTCCTCAGCAGGATCGGCAACAAACCCTCCATCTTTCGGCCAAGATGATGCTATGCCAGAAACCCCACTCAAGCTATAAATCCCTAACCATCCAAGACATGCTCTACCCGTAGGCCCTAAAGTAGTTCCTTTTTGGGGTTCATATGTAGAATCCTATAAGGTAACCCCCAAAAGGAACTACTATGAGGCCTATGGGTACAAAAGACCAACCCTAAACCCCTAAACCCTAAACCCTAAAGCACTGAGTGCCTTGGCCGTCAGCGTCTCCACAGGCAAGCTGCCAGTCGGATCGGTCTCGCCCTGTTTTTGTCATGTCTTCGGTTTATGGAGGGTTTGGGGTTTAGGTTTTTTTTAATGGCTTTGATATGGGTGGTACCAGAGTTATTTCTCTGGGGTATCATACTGCAGTTTTTTTGGCTGAGGCTTTCATCATGTTCTTGCTAGGGAACTTGCTTAACACGCCTGTGTTGCATGAGTTTGGTTGCTTTTCTCTTTGATGCTTTCTTCCTTGTCTTTCAAGACATATCGTAACGGCTTGTGGTAAGGTTTTACAAGGTTGTCTCGGTGTTCTTGTGAAGTACTGGAGGCTCCACAGACCCGGTAGCTGCCCATTGCCCACATCATCCCGACCGAAGCAAGAATTCAAGCTGAAGCACTCCTTCAAAAAGCATCGGGGGGTTCTTAAACTGACAGTGCAAGGACTTTGGGTCCGGAGGGGGGGGGGGGGCAAACACCTTCATCACTGTCGTCAACAGCGACATCGTCACCGAGACAATCTGCAAGTGAACCTAGCAAGAGTCTTTATTATTATGCTACAGTAATATTAAAACAGCTGTTTACATATTATCTTCATTTTAAAAAATAAATACAAACAACTTATGATAACTGCTGGCCTCCTCGCTGGCTTTTCGACCAGGTCTCGAACCTTGCGAAGAGGTAGGAGGCGAGGCCACAACTCCTGGAGAGGGCGCACTACCCATAGGCCCTAAAGTAGTTCCTTTTTGGGGTTCATATATAGAACCCTATAAGATAACCCCAAAAAGGTACTACTATGGGGCCTGGGTGAACCCTAAACCGCAACGTCGGTCGCGGGATTCTGAGGTTTCGGGGCTTGGGACTTCAATTCAAGCCCCCGGGTCTCGTGTCTGCAGAGCTACCAGCGGTTTGAGGTTTGGTGTTTAGGCTAGTGCGATTGCTGCTGGTGATGTGGTTGTTGCTGGTTGCATATTCCCGTAGCTACTCCCGCAATGCCTCTACTTCTACTGCGAACTTTTCGAACAGTGGAAGTTCGTCTTAACTTGGTGATACTCGTCGTTCTAGTGGTAGCTGCAGCCAGCAGCTCTATATTGAAGGTGTTTCACTGTAAAAAAATCTATGAACCTTGCTGCGTTGAAAGGGGGTTGAGACAACGAGGCCTCCACAGCAAGCAAAGCGCTGCATCAGGCTGGAGGTAAACAGCATCGCAGGCTAGCAGTTTTTATTCCTGAACGCAAGTTGGCTGTGGATTGCCACCTTCGGCTCAGAAGTAAGAGCAAGTGGCAATACACTGACCTGTTGACCCCGGTGGTAAATGGGGTGGCATTGATGAACTGGAGGGGTTGTAGTAAGGCGGCTGGGTTGGCAGTCAGTCGCTGCATATTGATGGCCCCTTCCTCGGCAAACGGTGACGTACTGCAGCTGCTGCTGTGCCGGAGGTGCTGGCAGTGATGTCAGGCAGTTGAGGCAATCGTTTCTTTGCTGGCAGGCCACGAACGCAGTTGTCTTTTGTGTCCCAGGCAAGTCTGTTCAGACGAGCTAATTACATAGAGTCCCGGCAACCCCTTTGGCTTGGCTAAACCCTGAACCCGAAACACTAAACCCAAACCCTAAATCCCTACCCCTAAACCCTAAGCCCGAAACCCTAAACCCGCTCCTTGCTCATGCTCTGGAGAGCTGTCTTCGCCGCTGGATGGAAGATTCAGGCGGGCCCGCGTCGACTTTGGCGTCGACTTCGATCCGGGTGGCGACATCGCTGACTTAGATCCCATCGGTGACTTCGACTTGGGCGACTTCAGCGCCGATGGAGGCATCGAAGAAGCTGGCGACTCGGGATCAGTTCGCGACCTTGCCACAGGACACTGCCAAAGACACTGCAATCCGAACTTTGATGACAGCACAGGTGGCGGTCCTTTGCAGTCACCGCAGTAACTACATTCCTGCGGCCACTAGAACTGTTAAAGCTCTCGACTGACATGATTTCACGCGCAGTACCTCATTCAATTTTTGCTGCGAGACTCCATTTGCTGCACCGGATTTCTGCTGAATGCATTGGCAGGAGCATTGTTTTACCAGGTGATGTGTATTCCAGATGTGGCATTCTTAGCGATCCAGCCAAAACTCACGCATGTCATGGTCAGGGACAACTCTTGGAACTTAATATGTCCCTCTCTTCGAAGCTTGAGATACCTTGCTGAGACCACTTGAGAACCGCCTGTGCTGTCCTCTACCTTAAGAACCCCAAACCTACTTTTTTTTGTAGGGCCCCTATAAATCCCATATCAGGGTTTATAGTAAGAACCCACAAAAAAGTGGGTTTGGGGTTCTTAAGGTAGTACTCTCGTGGGCAGGATGGCCTGGCAAGATAGGGTGGACGTCAAAACTGCTACCAACAAGCGTTTGAGACTGCACAGACACCATTTGCTAGCGCATTGCACAAGTCAAAGCTACGCCGCACGGTTCTGCATACAACGACAGGGAATTCAGGGTTTCGGGTTTAGTGGCTTTGCAGCTGATAGAGTCCAAGCCTACATTTGTAACATCCGTCAACTGCAATTTTTGCCGGCGTACTTCAAGGTCTCCTGCCCGCCGATAGCCCCAATATTTCCTATAATATAACGAACTGCCAATTGTGCAGTATTCCTGATCGCCTCATAGGCTTGTCTTCCAGATTGCGATCCGGTATGATAACAATCAAACCTGACACCTAACGTCGTAACATCCTCAAGCCATCTACCTATAGTCTCCGTTGTAGTTCCTTTTTGGTGATACCTTATAAAAAATCCTTATAAAATATAACTGGTTAAACCAAAAAAGGAACTACAATGGAGACTCTAGGTAGACTCTGAACCTAAACCCTAAACCCTAAACCCTTTGAGACCCTCAACCCGCGAACAGGGCCTTGGGCGAGACTGTGCTGAAGTCTCCGCTGGCATCTGATCCGCGGACGTCGAGGACCGCGGCCGATTTGCACCTGCCTGTAGTTTAATGGAAAGGTTCAGCGTGTTAGGTTGAAAGCTTAGGTTTTAAGGCCTCAGGATTCAGGGTTTGGGATTTAGGCTGAGGGTTTAGGGGTTTTGAGGTCTGTAGGATTCGAGGCTTCAGTTGCGTTGGCAGGGTTAGCCCTGATAACTTGACTTCTGAAATGCTTGGCCATAGTTGGCAAGTAGCTAATTCTGCCGCCACGAGTAGGACGTCCACGGACACAGAGGCCGTAGGTGCCTCACCCGAAGGAGGGACAGGTGCAGTAGCTTCTTTGGCCGACGGACCCGGAGCTGCGGCCAGGACCGCTGCCTCCTGAGGGTAATATAGGGGCCTGAATAATTAACCTATACTATTTTGGGGTTTCCTTATTATAAGTATAGTAAAAAGGACCCCAAAACCCTAGTCCAAGCGCAATGGCTTTGCTGTTTTTCTCCCTCCTACTTAGCACGAACGAGCCCGCATTGCGGCTTTGCTATTTAGGGTTCAAGGTTTTAGGGTTCAGGTTTTAAGGGTTAGGTAGTAGCAGATGACGGACGTTGAGCAGCGTCTTAGTAGCAGATGGCAATAGCCAACCAGCCAAAAGGATACTCACAACCATGGTGCCGCCCTCGCACATGCGCGGCAGCAGCAGCAGCAGCAGCAGCGGTCGTGGCCAAAACAGCAACCACAAGTACAAGCATATCAGAACACATACATGCCTTGACAGGCAAAGTGACCACAAAACAGGCAAAACGTGTACAGTACTGTTTCGAAAGCAACCTTCGCGGGATTTCACGGCGGGCAAGGACAGCACTCGCAGGCATCGCCCAAGTCGACGCACGTCGCTACAATGACACCAGTGGTTGGCATGGCACCGAGTATAATCTATGTCTATCTACTTATCTTAAACCGCGAACCTTGAACCCTGAACCGTATCTGCCTACCTCTCTTTTTGTCGATCGGACTGCCTCCCTGCCTGCGTAGCTAGCATCTAACTATATCTGTTCCATCTGGATAGATAGCAAGTCCGTGTGTGTGTGTGTGTCTGTGTGTGTGTGTGTGCGTGTGTGCGCGCGCGGGTGTGTGTGTGTGTGTCTCTGTGTGCGATTTGCAGTTTCAGGGATCCAAACCTCAGCCGAAACCCAAGATGATCCCATGCCGCACCTTGCACCGACTGTGACCCTAAACAGTCTTATAGATGCCCCCAAAAAACCAAAAAACAATTAAACCCCCGAATCCCCAGTTCTAACCCGACCTCCCCAAACCCGGAACCCAAAAAAGAGCCCCTAAACCCTATAGTTTCTCTTGTAGAACCCCAAAAAGAGCCCCTAAACCCTGTAATCTCTATGGTAGAAACCCAAAAAAGAGCCCCTAAACCCTGTAGTCTCTGTAGTAGAAACCCCCCAAGAAGCCTCCGGAGCCTCGGCGGGAAAGTCGGCTGCCAGGCCCAGGGAGGGCGGGGTGCGCACCGGCGTGGTCGGAGATGGGGGTAGGGGGGCCGGGCCACTCCTGGGTTCTCGCTGTTTGGGGGTCTTGAATAGTCTTTATGAATAGGTCTTTTGGGGCTTTGAATAGTATTTATGAATAGGTACCTCTTTAGAAACTATAAGGGAGCTTTTTTTTATAAAGTTTCCCAAATTGCCACCAAGACTCTGGGTCTCGGCAGCAGCTCTTAAGCTGAACTGAAGGGCAGTCTGGCGAGGTACCGGGGGGTCCTCGTTCTCGGATGCCGTGCGTGACATGGGCTGAGGAACATGGGGGAGCGTCCGCCCCTCCTCCGCGAAAAAGCTGGAATCGGCTGAATGCTCCTCAAGCAGCTCCAGCTGACCAGTAGGCTCCTCCGATGCTGAGGCAGCATGTCTGACCGGCTCTGCTGCTGTGGAGACGGCACCATCTCCACCATGAGAAGGCCCTCTGGAAAACTGACTGGCGACCTGGGGCCTGCGAATTCGGATGGGTTCGATTGGGAGGTTTTGGAGTCCTTCCCTTTAGAGCTTCGTGCTTGGAGGTTTTTGAATTTAGAGTTTAGGGTTTAGGGCTTCGGGTTGAAAGTTTAGGGCTTCGGTTTTGGGGTTTAGGGCCAGTTTAGGTTCTGACAGGGCGTTTGTTGGGCAGAACCCAAAACATAGTAGGTAATTGGAGCCAAAGAAGGACCTCGTGTCCGTCGCACGGCTCAAAGATGAGCTTGCCGCCGGAGGCGGAGGCGGAGGTACACCGCTATCCTTCGCACGAGCCTTCGGTACTGGGGCGGCTGGTGGAGCACCTCGCTCCTGGTGAAACATCTCCTGAGCTTGGGGCTTTCCTGGGGGTGTAATTATTGCAATTACAGGCCCCCAAATTTATTCATGAAGAAATATCTCTATAAGAGCATAAGGGATAGTTCAATCTACCCCAACGTCAACTCTAGGCGTGCTTGATTACTTGACCCAAGCTAGGCGCTCTGTGTAGTGCCAAGAAATTCGCCTGAGGCTTGCCGCCGGCCGCCATTGCCTTGAGCAAATGGCACTGATGGCCATCGGGTCCTAACACGAACAAGATTCTAGGACTTCGGAAAGTTGGAACTCGTTGTGGCGGAGTGAATCCTGGACTTGGCTGTGTCAAGTGAGTGCTTAGAGAGCTTGCAAACAAACACGATGTCTTGCTTGCAGTGCCTCCAGCCTGCCGCGTGCCTGTACATGTCATACCACCCGAGAATGAGGCTGGAAAGACTGCGGAAAACAAGCGGTGGTTATGATGGTGGTAATGCTACTGCTAGTGCCAGTGCTACTGGCAGTGAGGTGATGCCAAGCCCGTGGTGGAGGCTTGTCGGCTTTCATAGGGGCCCTAGACATTGCTCTTTGAAGACTCCACACGGAAACCCTAAAATCCCGGTTGAGGGTTTAGGGATTAGTGGAGCATTCAAGCTTCGGGTAGAGCAACTTGGGTACATACTTTCAGCGAAGTAAGATAAATGTCCTCAGGCCACAGAGACCCCTCAACTTCAATGTCCCAAGACACCGGAGCCGCTTCTCCTCCTTTTCCACACTCTCTCCCTGTGCACCTTCCTGTCTTTACCTCCCGTGATGCTTTTGCTCTCTGCCTCTGTCTCTGTGTGTCACTCCCCTGTGTGGACTCGGCTCTTGACTCAGATGAAGACCGAAGACCAAGCCTCGTTACACCACTAGCACAAAAGACAACCTGCCGCCAAACCCTACAGTAAACCTCCCAATAGAACCCTTTGAAGCAGGACTGACAAGAAATGCCGCCGGAGAGAATGCTAAACCCCGTAGACTGACCCTAAAGCCGTGACTAAAATTCCCAAGAAAAGAAGCCGCAACGGATCCAAAACCAGGCACCAGGTTTAGAGTTTAGGGCTTCAGGGTGTGAGGGTTCAGGGTTTACAGCAAGCCTATAAGATCAATAAGATGGAAGCCCAAACCCTAAGCCCCTCAGCCCCTTGAAAAGGACGCGTATATAGGCAACAGGCAGGACTTCACAAATAACATAGGGCTCCTGCGTCTAAAGCAGAATACTTTTCTCAAGGAGCCCTCAAGAAAACAATACTACCAAGTGCTAAGGCCCTGATATTGGGCCCTAAACCCTAAACCCTTATAGAACCCGTATGTATCCCGAGATCCTTTTAAAAACCACAAACACCTATCTAAACCCGAACCCTCATAGAACCCCTATAGAGCCCAGCTTCATAGATCCTTCTATAGGAACCCTAAGCACTAAACCCAAAAAGCCCCTTAAAGATCCCATAGAAGGAGCCCTTACAGGAACCCTCGAAGTAAACCAATCCCGAAGCCGAAACCCCTAAACCCTCATGGTTAGCCCTGCACTCCAGGCCCTAATTCGAACGAAATATTATGACATTGGACCCCTTTAACCCTATAACCCCAAAAAGCCTGAACCTTCTCGAACTCTTACAGAAGTCCCCTGAGGCCCTAGACCCTACTTGGAGGTTCACGGGTAGGGGTAGTTACGAATGGAGTTGTAAGTCCCCAAATACAAGTTATAACTACAGTTACCCCACTTATAACCCTACTTGTAACTACCCATGAACCTCCAAGTAAGTCGTATCCTTTGGAACACTGGGAGGGCGGCTCGCCCGTCCAGGGCTCGAAACGTTCAGAGCCAAAGAGAAGAGAGAAGAAGGCCCTGTCTTCAGGGTTGAGGGGTTGAGGTTTAGGGTTTAGGGTTTAGGGTTTAGGGGTTGAGGTTAAGGGCTTAGGGTTTCGGGGTAGGGGCCGTAACAATCCTAACAGGGTTTTGGGGCCCATTGTACCATACTTATCAGAAGGAGCACCCAAAATAGTATTGCAAATTATTCAAGCCCCTACATTAGGGGTTTAGGCTGGTCTAGGGGTTTAGGGTGCAGAGTTTCGACATTTTTGAAATTTGGAGGGTGGCAGCAGCGTGAGTCTTGGAATCTTTCGAAGAGAAGCAGACGGTTTAGGGTTTAGGGTTTAGGGCTTAGGGATGAGGGGTTCAGGATTCGTGTGACTTCATGTTGCGGAAACTTGTCTCTGTAGGGGATCTCCTCAAGAGGATCCATCTGCTTGGAAGTCCATGGGTAGTTAGTAGTTAGAAACGGAGTTATAAGTCCCCCAATTAGTATAGCTTATAGCTACAGTTACCGTACGTACATATAACCCTACTCATGACTACCCATGAACCTCCAAGAAAGCCCGAAACGTACACCCTCGAACCTTCGAACCCCAAAGCCCTGAAGCCTTTATGCTAACCTAAAGCCTCTGAGTTCGCGAAACCTACATCCAAAACGCCAAAGCCGCGAACCTCATTGAAACGGAACTACTAGCCAAGCGTAAGCACAACCGCAGTTCGTGCCACAGACAGTGCTTCGAGACTTCGAGATTAGCCACGACTCCCGAGTCTAAGGCTTGCGTGGCTTGGCGGCTTCATGTAGATACTTGAACTTCGCAGCAGGTGAGAGTCGTCCAACGATCATTGTTTCAGTTATACGGTGAAGTTGAACAGTCTGGCTGCTCTGCTTACTGTTTCTGGAACACCTCTGCGTTCGAAAGCAGGACTAGAAGAGTGCAAGACCCGCGGCTTCGTCTTTCGAAGGTGCAGGTACGGTCTGATGCGCCAATGTGAAGACTTCCTTTGTTTGGTTAACAAGTAGAAACAAAAAGTTTCAATGTCAAGCAACGAACCGGTCCCAAACCATCAACTGCAATGGCTCGCACTTGTAAACCTCTACCTCTCCCTAAAACAAAACCCACCCTACAACCGAAACCTTGATCCGCTCAACCCATTGGGGGTTGCTCGGCTTCCGCGTGGGCAATATGAGTTCTTTCGGGGTTTGAGGGCTTTGGGTTCTCTTATGCAGGACATCGGATGTTTAGGGTTTGGGATCTCGGGTTTTGTCCGGCTTTCAGGTTGCAGGCAATTTGTCTCATGTCCAGCCTGGGGTCCATCTGGACCGTCTTCTGCTTGTCAATGCCTTCTTTGCCATCACGATCATACCTGAGACCCTGAACCCCAAACAGGGCAGGGCTTTGGGATTTAGGGTTTAAGGTCACCTGTAGGTTCTGATCCGAGAAGCCGCTTTGGCACGCATCCCAGAGCTTCGTGGCGTCGCTTCTGCTTATTCTTCCGGGCAACCCAGGTCGAGCCTACATTCAACATTACTCAACATTCAAGGCACGTGCAGCTCTCCCTGCAGAACATTTCAAGCCCAAAATGCTGAAGTCCTAAATCATTCAAATCCCGCTGCCCAAAGGTCGCCAACCCCGCCCGATCGCATTCAAGTGTCATGGTCGGGTTCGAGAATTGACAGCTTCAAGGAGAGAGTTGACACAAATAGACCATACCTGTGGTCTTCATTGTAACTCCTTGTTTGGGTTACCTTGTATGATCCTGAAAATAAAGTCTCTACAACCCCCAAACGAGTTACAATGGAGACTAGAAATAGTTCATCAAGCAAAATCTCCCTCCTCTCAAAAACATCAAAATCCGTTGTCCGAACTGACGAGTGATATTCCCCGAAAACCTCTACAACCTCAATCCAAGCCCCCAAATAGGAAACTCAAAACCTCTTCTTCCACAGACTTGTACATGCCCGCCTGGTTCTCAGACCTGCTCCACTCAAAACCCTTTTGGCACTCAAAACCCTAAACCCTGAACGTTCCCCCCCAAACCCTAAACTCAAATGCATTCCGAGGTATGCGCTTCTTGCGAAGGTCGGGATCGGACAGCACCTGGAGCTCAGCCGTGGCTTGTCGTACTTCCAGTAGGCTTGGCACCTTACTTAGAAGCCGTTTTTGTGCCATTGTTGTGGCAATGAATTCGAGAGCAATCCGACACAAGCTTGCGGGGTCCTCACAAACATAGGGTCGGTGGAGAGGTCGCTATACTGAAATTCGGATCCTACTACTAAGGCCCATGTCAATGTAATACCTCCGCAATAGTGCTTGGTTCGGAGTTCAACAGTTTCCGGTCCACAGGCTTGGGGAAGCCTAAGGTCTAATATGTACAATAGGAAGCAGGTCCCTGCTAAAGCTCTTGGTATGGAATTTACCATCTGCTGGTGATAGAAGCAGGTGGCTTCTTCAGGTACATTATGCTTTGAGGTGTAGGCTGTCCGTGTTACGATGGGGCAGTGGGCTTGAGGGACCTTTGGGGACGTGCTCTGGAAACGAGCTCTCGGCCCAAATCGTCCGACAACATCACAGAATCACAGGCACTACCCTAGGAATAGTATTGCGAGTCTTCCATATGGGAGTTTCCGACAATAGGGGACCCTAATATAGTACCTTGAATAGTAGGATCCTTATTATAAGGACCCCAAAATAAGGTACCCAAATTTTCAGAAACTCCCATATTGGCTTCTCCGTGGGCCCAAATAGCTCCTTCCAAACTGCAAGGTCTTCCGTCCCATCGAAAGAGTTGCTACAGCTTATGAAAGCGATTACATGTTGCTGGTCCTTGCAGTCTTTGGCTGTCAACTCACTTCAATGTCCCATGATTTGTTGCCGTGTAGGTGCTAGGCTAGACGTAAATGATATCGTCGTGGTACTCCAAGATTTCTGTTCTAGGGGAAGTGCCCCGATGTTGGAGGTAGCCCTAAGACCTAAGTACTCATCATGACACCTCAATTCAAGACAGCATCCCTGGCAGCGTTGACTGCTTGGGGGTTGAGGCGGTCGTGTGGGTTACAAGTAGGATTTCAAAACCCTGTAAACAGGATTGTCTTCCAGTGCCTGAAAGTAGCGCTTTTGCGACATTGAGGTGCTTCGCCGTTCTACGAGTTGCAAGGGCTCATAGCCCCGAGCCC